TTTTTGTTCACATCCCAATTTCGACTTATTGGCTTTTCTATAATTTTATATATATCTATAATATTATCTATAAATGGAATGTTTCAAATTCTTATTAGTCCTTAAAAGTCCTTTCATGGCAATTCCAATTTTTTATTTATTGCACCTGATTGAGGCAGTAAACCAAGTACTTAATAATAATAATAATTGCACACTGTAAACGAAGTCTCCAAATATCTCAAAGAAAGTTGAAGTCGTTAGGTCCAATATTAAAAAAACTTATTCCATTTTAAAAGCTGCTACTCGCATGAGCCACTATACGTCTGACAGAACGCAAGTGCTTCTAATAGTTGAAGAAACGTTTCATATAAATTCCGAGATCCCTGTGTTTAGGTTTCGCTTAAAGGTCCGGGGTCTAATCGGAGACAATTCGAACGCGTTTGTCCGCTGACGTTTAGCTTTCCAAATGATTTGCACATAATCGAAATTGTGCATAATGTAGAGATGGATGTATATAATGTAACTATCGTACTACCTTATTATGTGCGCGAACCGCGTATATAAGACGCACACCGCGGCCAGACAATTGTTAATTTTAAAGAGAGGTTTCAGTTTATCGGATGGAAAGTATTAATGAAATTGTTATATCGTAACATCAGATTTTTATTTATGGATCGTAAGCAATTTCAATATTGACATAATATATTTTTATTACACTGTGTAAAAAAAAAAAAAAAATACGGTATAAGAATGATATATCGTTGACTCGTTTGCGGAAAGGTCGATGGTACCAGAACTACTAATCGGCGTCTTTGCTATTCGAAGATTGTATACTTGTTACATTGTATATTCGTAAACGGAAGCTTTCCTTTAATATGTTATTTCTATGAGTACGTTGATAGGGTGAAACGATTAGGGAGCGACGAGAGAACGACGTGATTAGACGAATGCCACCATTTTTTATCGATCCGTGTCGAAAATCCTTTTAACACCAGTGATTGGCGAGTCGTAAATTGTCTTCTTACGTCTGTATACTTTGTATATACGTATTTGTAATTTTTTTAATCGAAATTTATTATTAACGAACGATGTGCGAGTGTCGCTGACGTTCTAAGCATCACTCGATTTCGACAGACACAATATGCCATTACTCAGAAGTTCTTAAAAACAAACGACGTAATGGTTTATATACATGGTATATAAAAATGGGATCATCGTGAAACTCGACAGCATAATTGAACACGCTCACGTGAAACGTTTTTCGACTACACAACTTTTCGACCGAATATATTACCTATTAATTTAGCAATACAACCGAGACGATTATTGTAATTATTTTGCATACGTATCTGCCCGTGG